TTCTTTGGGATGGGAGCAAATATTGACCTCTTACACTCAGTTGGCCAAGTGGTTGTTCTCCAGATTTCTTGGCACAACTTGGTGAGCACATCCAGGGCAGTATCTGTTAGCTGAAATGTGTCAACTGGTATACCATCTATTCCGGGGGCTTTATTTTTTTGCTGTTTCCTTCAAAGCAGCTTGAACTTCTTCCTTCATCACCATAGGCTCTGGCTCAAATGCTATTTCATTAAATTCTTCTGTATCTGCCAATTCTTTTCGGTACAATGACTCAGTATATTCCTTCCATCTTCTTTGGATACCTCCTGGATCATTTAACATTCTGCCTAAAGCATCCTTGATTGTAGCAACTCTACCTTTTGCAAATTATCAAGGACAATAGCTTCTCATTAATCTGTATTTTCCACAAGCTCTCAAGGACTTTAGTTTCTCCTTAAGAAAGTCTTCACAATTGCTCTTCTGGGTCTTAGGAGGTCTCATGAAAACAACTTGTTTTTTGGGGGGACATGTCCGCATGCTTGCCAAGTAAACTGTTTTCAGCTAGCTTCCTGCTGAGTGTTCTTGAAGCAGCACTTCTAAACTTGCATGCAGACAGTTATCCAAGGTACAGTGGCTTTCAGAAACTCTCACATTAGCATATCAAATATTCTGCTTCAAGGCATGGCTACATTTGTCTTCTTCTTTTTCAAATTTATAATCCCTGACAGGAACAGAGACCTGGTAAGTGAGGTAAGTGTAAGCTTCCTTGAGTTTGTCTGGTCACTATATTAGTAGTGAACTAAGTCTTCTATTGGAAACAAAAAAATACCAGAAAGTTTTCTATCTGAGACTTATTAATTATTCAAAGGCAACTGTGTGGACCATAGCAAACAATGGCTAACTTTGAGAAGAATAGGAATCATAGAACACGTAATTGTGCTCATGTGAAATCTATACCTAGACCAAGAGGCTGTTGTGCAAACAGAACAAGGGATCACTGCATGGATTACAATTAAGAAAGGTGTGTGTCAGGGTTGTATCCTTTATCCATGTGTATTCAATCTGAATGCTGAGAAAATAATTTGAGAAGCTTCTTAACTATAAGAAGGTAAATGTGGCATCACGATTAGAGGAACACTTATTGAAGACCTGCATTAGGCAGATGACACAATCTTGCTTGTAGAAACTGAAAAAGACTTGAAGCCCTGACTGATGAAGGTCAAACACTGTATCTTTCAAATGGGCTACATCAAGAAAACAAAACTCTCTACCAATGAATCAACAGGCAACCTCGTGATAGTTGGAGAAATTACTGACATCGTCAATGATTTAATTTTACATGGATTAACAATCAGCACCCACAGTAACAGTGATTGTTTACTGTCGAGTTGGAAAGGGCTCATAGCTGACCCTAAAGCAGGTTTTCAGAGACAGTACATCACACAGAGGAGATTGCCCATTTTTCACTAGCAAAGCAGCTGGTGAAGTCAAACCATGATCCTAGGAAGCTCTCGTGGCTTTTTGTTATTGTTAATGTACTGTCGAGTCGCCTACGACCCATAGTGCTCTATGTACAGCAGGTCTGATGCCTGCCCTGTCTTGAGCTATCTCACAAATTCTGACACACCAACCTGCATTGCCCCAGTTACTGTATCAATTTATCTCATCTGGGGTCTTCCTCTCCTGTGCTGTCCCTCTACCCTTCCAAACATGATGTCCTTCACCAAGGATCAGTCCCTCCTGGCCACATGCCCAAAGTAAGTGAGATGGCACTTGAAAGTCCTAGCCTCCAAGGAGAAACTTGGCTTAACCCTGTCCAAGACAGACCTATTTGTTTTCTTGGAGGTCTATAATATGTTCAAGACTTTTCTCCAGCACCACAACTCAAAGGCCTTGATTCTTCTGTCGTCCTTAGTCATTATCCAGTTCTCTTGTCTGCTAGCTTAGTGGTAAAGAAGTGCACTGCCAACACAAAGATATGCAGTTTGATCCACAACTCCTTCCCTGCTGTCTTAGTGTCTCTGAGAATCCACTGGAGGGCCAGCTATGAGTCAGTTTCAACTTGATGATACACAACAACATCAGTTATCATACAAGCACAGTAAAACCAACACCCACTCCCCTAACTTTTGGTTTGTCAATGCAAAGAGATAAAACGATGGGACAATTCGTGGTCAAGAACCTCCTTAAAGTGCTACAGACCAACCATATCAATTTAAAGACTAAGGTGCACCTGATCTAAGCAACAGCCCTTTCAATTACTTCCTATGCATCTGAAAGTTGGTTAATGAATAAGGAAGATCAGAGAAGAACCGATGATTTTGAACTGTGATATTGGCTAAGACAATTGAATATGCCAGGGACTGCAGGATGAATCGACAAGTCTGTCTTGAAGGAAGTGTAACTGCTTTGATGCAAGGATGGTAGAACTTAATCTTACATACTTTTGACATGTTGTCAAGAGGGCCTAGTCCTTGAGGGGAAAACATGCTGGTAAACACAGAGAGAGGTTCACTGAAAGAGATGTTCAAGGAGATGGCTTGATGTGGTGATTGCTAACATGAGCGTGGATAGGGCAGAGATTGAGAGGAGGGTGCTGGATAGGGCAAGCCTCAGGTCCCTGTGAGCTGTGGTAGACTCAAAGGCACCTAACAACCTTGATGGATGAAATGGTTTTGTGGAAGAATGGGTGGGGAGCCTGGACTAGTGCAGAAGGTTTTCCAAGCAGGGACAGTGATGAGCTCTTGATGACATTCCTTGAGTCAGGTTTCCTGGCCAGGGCTGTGGGTTCACTGGGTCAGGTCACCCTGTGTGCTGATACTGTGGTTTTGAATGGACGAGCCAGGTTAGGGGGGCAGGTTCTCAGCAGACCTTCTGGAACAAACTGGATGTCGCACGTGGTGCATCTAAAGGTGGACAGTTGGCTCTGATCTGTTCGGAAGCTTTGGAGGGTCACCTGCAGAGGCTGAGGAAAGCTGTCTGGAGGGCCTTCAGTGCTATCTGGGTTTGCTTGACTCCTCCAGGTTCCTGGGATCCCGGAGAGGGGAGGGAGAATCACTGTGAGGATCAGCCATCTAGGTCACAAGACAGGTCAGGAGATGATCGGTCGGGACAGAGTGCTGGCCACTGGTACCTGAGCCAGATCCAGAATGCTATTAGGAACTTTGGCTAAAACACGCCCTTCCACTACCACACCTCTGTCCCCCTCCATCCCCAAGCTGGCCTGGCCCTGGACGGTGCTGTGGCCCCTCTTAATTTTCAGGAGAGGCTGTGGCCCCGGGTCAGTCTGGCAGTCGCCATGCCCAAGCTGGTGGGGGAGGAGGTCCAACGAGTCAGGTGACAAAGCCTCGTGGTGTAGGCGGAGGCTCGGGCGGAACGTCGTGAGTGCGAGCGCGTCCTGATGGCAGGACCCACGGGTGAGCGGGCTCCGGGGCTCCCCCGCCCCGCGCTCCCCAGCCTGGCGCTCCTGCTCGCGCTGTGCGCCCTGCAGCCTGCGTCCTCGGCCCAGGGCGCCCCGCCGCACTACGACCCGGTCTGGGAGTCCCTGGACGCCCGGCCGCTCCCGCAGTGGTTCGACCAGGCCAAGTTCGGCATCTTCATCCACTGGGGCGTGTACTCCGTGCCCAGTTTCGGGAGCGAGTGGTTTTGGTGAGCGCGCTTCTCTCCTCCCCTCCTCCGTCTCAGGTTCTCAGGCTCCAGCTGCCTCCCTGGCAGTTTCACTTCCCTCCTTCTTAACCTCCTTTCGCGCTTCCGGGTTAAATGTGTGTTGCTATTGCCTGGTGGGTGGTGTTGGAGCAACAATGTGTTTTCTGAAATGGAACACATTTCACACACTTTTTTTTTTTTTTTTTTTGCCTCTGGCTTCTGGTCATGGCACCTGTCACACTGTCATACACTAACATCAAAACTAAACCTGGTAAAAAACGAGCTGGTTCGACCCATAGGGACCTCACGTGTTATCTAGAAGAACAGAATTGCCAGGCCTTTCTTCCGCAGGCACGTGGTGGGGTTTCAAATCGCCAGATACTCAGGCTGAATGCTCCATCGCTGCACTGCTGCTGTCCATGATTACAAAGTACATGTAGACTTAAACTGGGTGATGCTGAAAAAAAACCCCAAATCCACAAAACCTGGGTTTTAGTCAGGGGGAAAATGTAAAAATATTAATGTAATTTCTTACAACTTTGAGCTGTTTTTGCACACATTTCCCTATGAAATACTGATCTCTTCTAATATTAGGTGCCTAGGTGATAGCGATGCCAAGTACACCACCTGGAAACACTGCCTGGACTTGGGCCTCTCTCCTGGTCTCTGGCAGTTTGGATCTCCGATTTCTCCTAGGAAGATCTGGTGGCCTAGTGGGGAGGAGCTGCGCTGCCCCTGCCATTGGGGTCTGCCCACCCACTCTGCAGGAGAAAGACAGACAAACCTCTATGTAATTTTTTGGTCATTCCCACAGTATCTCCTGGTGAGTCAGCATTGAGTCGGTTGTGACTTGACGGTAGATAACAACAACAATGGCTTCTAAAGAGAAAGATGGACCGTCTCCTTCCATGCGATTTTAGCCAACCTTCTTGGAGGGACAGCGATGAGTTGGTTCCCATTTAAAGGCAATGAGTTGAGCCGAGTCTACGTTACAAAGCATGATGTTTATTCTGTAGGCACTGGGCCTGCCTGAGAGCTTGACCAAAGTGAAACAGAGCCTCTCCATCCTTGCTTCCAAGGAGTATTATTACAGTACTTCTTCCAAGACTGCTGTACTGGTGGTTGTTAGTGAGCGTACTAGGTGCATTCTCTGACATGGGCACTGCTCTTTAAAGGTGTGCACTTTGCTGTTGTCTTTGTGTTAAATTCCTGGTGTGTGGGGTAACACTGCCGTGTAGAATTGTTGAGGTGGGGACCTTCTGCAGTCAGATTGCCAGGCCTTTCTTCTGAGGTGCCCATGATCTTTTGTGAATAGTTGAATCCTTAACCATTTGCTCAAACCTGTGTCTCCACACATACTCTGTGTTGTAATTTAAAAGTAAGCCTTTAAAGAGAATAGGTGACTGGGTTATCTAGTGGGTGTGGCTCCAGATGTCCATAAAGCAAGTCTCTCAATAAGATACAAGTTCTCTTCCCCAGTGTGAAGTTTAACCAGGGAGCTCTAGGGGCCTAGTGCTAAGAAGCTGCACTGTCATCCTGAAGGCAGGCAGTTCGAGGCCACCAGCAGCTCCTCAGAAGTGGGCAGTCTCCTCCTGTGCAATTAACTGCCACTGAAAACCAGCTGGAGGGTCAGCTATGGGTTGGTACCAACTCTACGGTACACAACAACAACATGAACTTTCACTGCCTTACCTTTCCTACTGGTTTCCCAATATATATAAAATTTAGGTTTAACTACACTGTATTCAATGTGCATTAGTATTATGAGATGAAAACAGGAGTGGCATCCACTTCCTGAACAACATGCTTCTGGAAACTCTGAACTTTGCTAAATATCGATAGATGTAGAGGGGCTTCACGCCTTTTGTTCATAGGGTCATTATGAGTCATGCTGTACTTGAAGGCAATCAATAATAACAACAACAACAACAACAACAAACAACCATATGATGAGAAAGTTTGAGATATTGTGAATTACTGAAATATTACGTGGAGATATGAAGTAAGCAGTTGTTTTTGGAAAACTGGCATCATTAGACTGGCTCAGCTCGGGGTTGCCACAGATCTTTAGTTTACGAAATCACTGCATCTATGAAGTGTAATAAAGTGAAATGCAGTCAGCAGATGCGGGATTGATTTTACTCTCCTCTGTGAGCGAAAGGATTTCACGAGGGGCCAGATGGCAGGTGACGAGAGGGTTTTGGTTTTGCAAATGTTCCTTAAAGGGTGCTCCTGTGCTGTAGTCAGTATGTGTGAGGTTGCTAACCCGAAGGTATGTACTTCTCTGGAGGTTTGAATCCGCCATCCACTCCGGGGGAGAGAGACGGGCAGTCTCTTCCTGCGTGCTTCACAGCCTCAGAAACGCTGATAGCTGGAGGGTCAGCTGTGAGTTAGCTCTGCCTCGATGACCATGATCTCTGAGTTTTAACATCCCCTTCTAGGCAAATCTAACTAAGGAGGAAATAGTAAGAGATTCTGGGAGTTAAATGAATAGGAGGAAAATAGCAGAAGATGCTGGAGTAAGTTGTGCTGTTGACATGTATTCCTGGTTCTCCGTGTAGGTATTATTGGCGAGAGAACCAGCAACCGAAGTATGTGGATTTTATGAAACGCAATTACCCTCCTGACTTCAGATATGAAGATTTTGGGCCACAGTTTACAGCAAAGTTTTTTAGTGCTAACCGCTGGGCAGATATTCTTCAAGCTTCTGGTGCAAAATACATGGTCTTAACTACAAAACATCATGAAGGTAAGTAAAAGCCTATTTGCAAACACTGACCATCATTGTGAAGTGGGAAGCAATTATTTTAGAAGAAACCCGTCCGAATGAAATCCGAGTTTCTGCTCTGGAGCATCCAAGATATTTGCTTATAATCTAGAAGACCGTATATACCTCTCATACAGATTGAGAGACATTCAGTATACAGAGAGAGCATGCACCCAGCATTACAGAAAATGTAGTCACATTTGGTTGTTTGTATATTTAACAATGTTTCCTTGATTGAATTAAGGCTACTTAAAGTAGGAGAGACAAGGATGGTGTAACTTGATCTCACATACTTTGGGCATGCTGTGAGGAGGGACCAGGCCATGGGGGAAAAAAGATATTGGGCTGGGAAAGATAGAATGCTGGTGAAAGAGAGGAGGTCCTCAACAAGTGGTTGACACAGCGACTACAGCAATGGGCTTGAGTGCCATGGAAATTGTCGTGAAGGTGCAGAATTCATCAAGGTTCCAGTATGTCGCTGTGAGTCACAGCTGCCTCCGTGGCAGCTAACAACAACAACGGGTTGTAAGTTGTTAAAGTTGATCACTCAGATTGCACCGTCTCCCTGTCGCTCCACGGCGGCAATGCATTCTGCAGAGGCCCCTGGAGTTCAACTGGGGCCGGCTTGACTTATTCTCACCACATACGGCTGTGCCTTTGACCACTCCTTAGCTGGTCACAACTAGAGGAGGAGTTGCTAGTGACAAAAAGGACACAGATTACCTGGTGGAGAAAGGACTCTAATGGTGCCCAGAAACCAACAAGAGAACCCAATCCCTCAAACCCACTGATGCAGAGTCGGACCTAACTCATAGCTGACCTTCAGTGGGATGTAAATTGCCCAGGAGGACATTGCTCAGCTTTCTTCTGAGGATTTGCTGGTGAATTTGAAAGTTGCCACCTTCAGGTTAGCTGCACAACTTCCTAAGTACCGCAGCACCACAGCTCCCTTTAGGTGATAGGTAAGCCAATTTTGTTGTTGTTGTTGTTATTGTTGTTATGTGCCGTCAAGTTGACTATGACCCATAGCAACCCTATAGGCAATAGCTCTGAAGCCTGCCTTATCCCGAGCCAAACTCACTGTCTCTGACACACTTACCCCCGTGGCCCCAGTTACTGTGTCAATCCAGTTCATGCTGGGTCTTCATCTCTTGCTCTGTCCCACCTCCCTTCCAAGCATGATGTCCTTTTCCAAGGACTGGTCCTCCTGGCACCATGCCCAATGTATGTCAGAATTTCAAAATCCTTGTCTCTAAGAAGGAACCTGATTTCACCCTTGCAAGACCTGTTTGTTTTCTTGGCAGTCCATAGTATGTCCAGTACTCCTCTCCAGCTCCATAACTCAAAGGCATCAACTATTCTTCTGTCATCCTTAGTCATTATCCAGCTCACTGATGAATAGCAAGTAATTGTGAAGACCATGGGCTGGATCAGGTGCATCTTAGTCTCTAGAGGTCTTGAGACTACAATACAGGTTATTGTTGATCTTCAGAACTGTGGAGAGGTCTCTAGCAGCAGATTTTCGTGATGCAGTTCGTCTTTTGATTTCCTGACTGCTCGTGCCAAGAGTGTTGATTGTGGAGCCAAGCCAACTCAATCTCTTCTCCATCTATCACGGTGTTGCCAATTGGCCCAGAAGTGAGAATCTTTGTTTTCTTGATTTTGAGCTTCAATTCATATTGAAGACTGCAATCCTTCAGTTTCTGCAGCAGACATTTCAGATCCTCAGTTTCAGCAAACAAGGTTGTGCCATCTTCATAACGCAGGTTGTTGATGAATATATTCCTCCAATCCTGATGCCACATTCCTCCTTATAAAGTCCAGCCTCCTGAATGATCTCTTCCACATATAGATTGAAAAGGTTTGGAGAAGAGTATTGAACATACCATGGACTGCCAGGAGAACAAACTGGTTCATCCTAGAGAGGTTGAAACCAGGCTACTCCTTGGGAGCAAGGTTTCTGAGGCTTTGTCTGACCACTTTGGGCATGTTGTGAGGAGGGACATCATGCTTAGAAGGGTGGAGGGACAGTGCAGGAGAGGAAGACCCTCGATAAGATGGATTGATTCAATGACTAGGGTAATGGGGGTAGGTGTGTTAGAGACAATAAGGTTGGCACAGGATAGAGCAGGTTTGAGGGCTATTGTACATAGGGTTACTATGAGTTACAAGCAACTTGATGGCACATAACAACAACAAAAACCACAACCGTGTTCACTTGCTCTGTTCTGACTGCTGCTTCCTGGTCTGAGTAAAGTCAGTTGTAGATAATGAAAATTGGTGAGCTGAAATGGAGTACCACCACCCACTTTCAAAAGAAAAGACAAATGGTCAGTGTATCTTAAAATGCAGAACTACTGAGGAAGTCCTCTTGCATCTCCCAGCTAAATGAATCATCAGCCTAAAGGAGAATTTCTATGAGGCCCTAAGAATTCCGAGAATCACAGTGTTATAACGTCTGTTGTAAGGTGCTATCAACTCCAGCCCCTGTGCAACAGATTGAAACTTGACCCAATTCTGCATCATTCTCACAATCTCTGTGCTTAAACTTGTTGCAGACACTTTGTCCATCACAATTTGAAAATGCCGGACTGTATTTAAACTTTGATTTAAAAGACAATGAAGAATTTTGCACCTTCGAGCACTCATGAATGACAGTAGCTGTCTCATTGTTGTTCTGCATGGGTGTGGCAGCTGTCACCAGGGGGCCAGGTGTGGTTTGCTCTTGCTGATGGTGTATTTTGCCCTAGACCCAGTACGAGGAGGAGGCTGGGGAGAGAGCAGGAAACGCCAAGGTCCTTGGGCCCTCAGAGGGAAGATGTAGGAGATCCATCACACTCTAGATCCTATGATGTACTCTGAAAAATGATAAAAAAAATTTCTCATCCCACCTCAGTTTATGCCTTTGTCTGTCTATCTTCAACATTCTCACCTCTTCTTGTTCTTTCCTATTAGATCAGGGAGTTCTGACTGAGCTTGTTCATTTGGCTTAAACTAAATACGGACTAAATGGATATTTGTAACTAAAAACTACTTGGTGTTGTGTTTTGAAATCAAGGAGAGATCTGATTATCCTTCCTGGATCCATGAAGAAACCACAGACATATTCTGGAGACGTCCTTTCTGATCCTCAGATCAGAAGTGCGGTTTCTCTTATGAAAACAGAATATACACTATGAGTCAATCACCATTAAATTGTCATCTGTGGAAGTTATTTATGCATCACTCATGTTGTCCGAGATCCTTGGGCAGTGCAAATGATTTGGCAGTTTGAGCCCACTTCCTGGTGCCACGGAAGAAAGAGCTGGTGATCTGCTTCAAGAATGATGTACCCTCCAGAATTGTTCCACTCTAATACATGGGCTAACCTGTCAGTCAGAATCGGGTTTGATCTAGCTTCTGCAGTATTTGATTTGTTTGTAAAAGGGGGAGAAAATGGCTATGCTTACACAAGTTGACAGTGCCGTGATAGATGGAGGAGACATTGAGGTTATTAACAATTACAGCTTGCTTGGCTCCTCAGTCAACACTCTTGGCATCAGCAGTCAGGAAATCAAACGATGAATTACACAGTGAAAATCTGCTGTTGGAGACCTCTCCAGAGTATTAAAAAGCAACGATGTCATTCTAGAGACTAAAGTGCACCCAATCCAGGCCATGGTCTTCACAATTACTTGCTATGAATCACAGAGCTAGATAATGACAGGATGAGAGAAGAATTGATGCCTTTGAGTTGTGGTGCTAGAAAATAGTCTTGAACATACCATGGACTGCCAAGAAAACAAATAAGACTGTCTTGGAAAGGGTAAAACCAAGTTTTTCCTTGGAAGCTAGTTTGAAGCTCCATCTCACATACTTTAGGCACATGGCCAGGAGGGACTAGCCTTTGGAGAAGGACATCATGCTTGGAAGGGTGGAGGGACAGTGCAGGAGAGGAAGACCCCGGATGAGATGGATTGATACAGTGACTGGGCAATGGGGGTTGGTGTCTCTGTGTGTTGCAGGCAACTTGATGGTGCATAACAACAACAACATACCTGTTTTTAATATTATTTTCCAGGTTTCACCTTGTGGGGTTCTAAGTACTCCTGGAACTGGAATGCTGTGGATGAAGGGCCCAAGAGGGACATTGTCAAGGAACTCGAGGTGGCCATCAGGAAAAGGACTGACTTGCGTTTTGGCCTGTACTATTCCCTCTTTGAATGGTTTAACCCAATTTTCCTTGAGGACAAACTTAATGCCTTCCACACTCAGCAGTTTCCATTATCTAAGATGTTGCCTGAGCTCTACTGGCTGGTGAACACCTATCGCCCTGACTTGCTGTGGGCGGATGGCGACGGAGGGGCGCCAGCCTCGTACTGGAACAGCACTGGCTTCTTAGCCTGGCTGTATAACGACAGGTGTGTGCTGTGTTCTCTTGCTGTTTCTCTCTTAAAATATGCCTGTCACACCTATAAATGTTTTCTTCTCTTGCTTGAGATACTGCTATCCAAGTCTGTATGTGGTTTGGACTGAGGGGATCGTTATAAAGAATGCTTATGGGTTAAATCAATACTTACAAACTTAACTCAGTAGAAATCAGGAGTGAGCGGTTCAAATCCACCAGATGCTCTGCTGAAGAAGGAGGAACAATCGCCTCCTGTACCAGTCAGATCCAATTTGACGGTACACACATAACAAGAATAAATAAATAAATAAAAGAAATCAGGAGTGAAAAGCAGTGTAACAGGCCAGTGGTGGAATCAGACTAACCATCACAGGAGCGGGGACTTTGAAGAGACTGTTATTGAATGTTCTTTTCATCTCCTATTCTGCTCTTCTGCTGCCTCTCTTCTAGAACAATCCGTCCCTGTCTTCTGATGATGTACTTGCCCTTCAGTGCCTCCAATTGCTTCTTTCAAATCCAGACAATGTCAGTCTTATCTGCCTTCTCTTCTTCAACATTCTCACCTCTTTTGTTCCTTCTTATTTAGATCAGGGGGTTCTGACCGAGCCCCTTCATTCTGCTTAAAACGTATGGACTAAATGAGTGTGTGTAACTAAAAACTACTTGGTATTGTGTTTTGAAATCAAGACGTCATCTACTAATACTCACTGGATCCATAAACATGTTCTGGGAAGGTCCTTCCTGGTTCTTAAAACAGCTATTTCCCCAGACACTCTCATTCCAAGAGAAAGGACTGGGAAGTGCCACATTTGTGAATCAAACTGTCCCGACCACCACCTACCATGATAATCTTGCAGTGCTGTTTCTTATCACAGTGAATTACGTAATGGGTGCAGCTGGTTCTTCAATACCGAGCACAATTGAGAGAGACCTAGAAAGGCTAGACTGTTAATATATGAGATTACTCAGTGAGGAGAATTACAAATCATGTTGGCTACCATTCACCTTCTGGTGGGGGTGGGGAAGCTGCTTCAAATAAGCATAATAGTCTTAAAAGTACTAGATTTCATGGGTTTTATAGAGATTTTTGGGACTTGGTTTTACAGAAATGATTGCTGTTTAAATACAGATGAGGAAATAGGTTGTTTAGAGGAATTAAGTCACTTGCTTTTGGTCAAGGAGGTGGAAAGCCCCAGAGTCACAATTACAAATAATTTTGGTTTATTCAGCTTTGAAACCATGAACTTGGTACTGCATTGCACTATGCTGTCCCCCTAACCCAGAAGTAAATTGCAGGCCAACCTCTTTTTCAGTGAGATCTATCATCTATCTATCTATCTATCTATCTATCTATCTATCTATCTATCTATCTATCTATCTATGTTTATCTGTATCTATATGTATATCTATCTCTATCATCTATATCGATATAAATGTCTATCTATCTAGCATGCTTTTTTGCATAAAAATTTTTACGCCTTTCATTTCAGCCCTGTCCGGGACACAGTAGTCACCAATGATCGCTGGGGAAATGGGACCATCTGCAAACATGGTGGCTACTACACCTGCAGTGATCGTTACAATCCAGGACACGTTTTGTCACATAAATGGGAAAACTGTATGACAATAGACAAGGTCTCCTGGGGTTATCGGAGGAATGCTAAAATCTGTGACTACTTTACGATCGAAGAACTGGTGAAGGTATAGTGAAATGTCTCATGGCTATTACTGTTTTAGTCGTGTGGGATGTGGAAATGGTTTTTCCCCCTTCTTATAGTTCAGAGGCCTGAAAACACTGCATAGTCTTCTGTCGTCTTTGTTCCAGGCAGTGAACACCATGCCTATGTAAATATCTATGTAAATGTCCCAGATCAATGCAACGTTGTTTACCTATCTAAGTGCTATATTTGTTCTTAATGTTTAGCAACTTGTAGAAACAGTTTCATGTGGTGGAAATCTTTTGATGAATATCGGGCCTACAAAAGATGGCACAATTTCTCCAATTTTTGAGGAGCGATTAAGGCAAATGGGGGCCTGGCTCAGAGTCAATGGAGATGCCATTTACGGAACCAACACTTGGAGATCCTCAAATGATTCTGTCACCCCAGATGTGTGGTAAGTCATTGTATTTGACATTTAAAACTTCTCAGAGATACAAAGGTTAAAGAAGAGATTAGTCTCTACCCACACAGAATGCTTTCCAAATATTGTTATGTGCCATCAAGTCGCCTGTGACTCATAGCAACCCCATGTACATTAGCTCTGAAAGCTACCCTATCCTGAGCCAATTTTAAATCTTCCACAGACATAATTCCATTGCTCTAGTCATTGGATGACGATTCATCTCATCCTGGGTCTTCCCCTCCTGTGCTGTCCCTCCACCCTTCCAAGCATGGTGTCCCTCTCCAAAGAATGGTCCCACCAGGTCATGTGCCCAAAGTATGTGAGATGGACCCTCAAAATAATTGCCTCCAGGCTTACTAACTCAAATATAAAAGCCTGGAGGGAAGAAATGATGCTTTCAAGAAAGCGTGCTCTGAGCACTTACTGTGTATTATCAATACCTGTTTTGTGCTGTAAAATTATTATTCAGAGCAATCCTATAAGATAGAGTAGGAGTGCTCCATAGGATTTCTTAGGATATAATATTTATGGGGGAGCTCTGATGGCAGAGTCCATAGTGATCTGTTAACCCAAAGGCTGTGAATCTCTTGTATTTTGAATCCACCAACAGCTTTGTGGAAGAAAGGTGGGCAATCTCTTCCTGTTTACAGCATTAGAGACCTGATAGAGGGTCACTAAGAATCAGAACTGCCTCAGTGAAAGTGAGTTGAAAGAATCTTTATGGAAGCTGAGTTCTTTCTTCTGCAGAGCCTTGGGGGGTTTGAACCCCTAGCCTTTTGTCCTAGGGTTCCTAGACATCTCCTAGTGTCTATTTAAGTGTGGTCAGCTCTCACAAAAATGGGAAACAATTAAGATGAATGAAAATGTGATGGTTACTCTGAAACAGAGACTCCAGTTCAGTCAGTTACATAAATTATATCCTTGTACATGTGACCTGGCATGAAATTAGCAAGCAGAGAGTACTCAAGGGTAGAGAAAAATACTAGATTGAAAGAGGCCAAAATAATACCAATATTATGGTTAATTAAAAAGAATTCATTAACTTGGTCATACTATTCTAATACTATATAATACTATACTTGGACATTTTCTCCACATTCACCACTCTGCAAGTTCTTCTTCTCATCCAACAGAAAAATAATTGAGGTTTTTTGGAGTATTTTTTTGCCATTTTATCACAATGATCACCTTTCCAGTTTCCAAAAATGTGTCCCTCACTTCCATCTGAGACCTTACCAGAAGCACCAGAAGTACCTTTAATGTTCATATTTTTAGTATCATTCAGAAATTCTCTTTACAGCTCTCTTTATATTTTTCCCCTGAGCCCTCAGCAGCATCACTGTTAAAGACCATATTTCTATTAGGCAAGCTAGGTTTTTTTCTAGAATGAGTCTCAAAATGTGTCTGGTCTCTGCCTGTTACTCAATTCCAAAACCATTTTCACTTTTTTAAGTATGAGTCATGGTGGTAAGAATCTGCGCTGCAATCCCCAAGGCAGAAGGTTTGAATCCACCATCTGCTCTGTGGGAGAAGGATGCATAGTCTCTTTCTGTGTGATTACTGCCTCTGAAAATCCACTGAGGGGGTCACATATGGGTCATTTCCAACTAGATGGTACGCAACATCATCAACAACAACAACAACAACTACTACTCCTCTCAATTCCAAAATCTGTTTTCATTTCCTAGGGCTGGCCTGACAATTTACCACAAACCACATAGTGTAAAACAACAGCCATTTATTCTCTTACAGTTCTGAAATCAGGGTGTTGACTATAGAGGAAATCCCTTCTTGGCCTCTTCCAGTGGTACCAATGTTCCTTGGCTTACGGCAGCATAACTTCTCCACCCACGTCTTCACTTGACTGTCTTCTGTCTGAGTCTGTTTTTTTTTCCCTTAGGATGTCAGCCACTAGATTTGGACTCACTCTAATCTAGTATAACCTCAGTGTAACTGATCCCAGCTGAAAAGATGGTATTTCTAACTAAGGTCATGTCCTGAGGTTCTTGGTGGACATGACTTTTGAGAGGCTACTGTTTAATCCAGTGCATTCACTCAAGGTCAGCACTGACCTCTGTCTCCTTTTGCCAATCCCATAGTAAGTCCTCAGTTTTCATTTCCTGGTCTGCCCATCCGCATTTCTCTCATTTGCCTACTCTGCTGGCCTTCATCGTTGGCTGCTCCTTCTTCATCTCATTGCTTGTTCTGTCTCACATTGCCAACCTCTGTATCTTCAAGTGCCCTTGGATTTCTAGTGTTTATTCTTCTCACTCGTCATATGTGCTTTGCAGTTTTCTGACTATAAATGCAGCAATAATACAATACTGAGGACCACGTGTGTATTTTCAGACTCACATGTTCAACCTCTGCAGTTGGCTGGTTAAGCTGACCTTCCAAGTGGGCTTTCAGAGGCAATAAAGTGCATGGGAGGAGAATGCCCATCTTTCTACCACAGAGCAACTGATGGATTTAAACTGTGTACCTTTGGGTTCGTAGCGCAGTTCCTTACTGTTAAGACATTAGAAGGGACCTAGTGGCAAGAAGCTCCCTTGCAATCCTGAAGGCATGGAGTTCAAACCCACCATCAGCTTCACAGGAGACGAATGGACAATCTCCTCTCACGCAATGAACTGCTTCCGAAAACCTGCTGGAGGGTCAGCTATGGGTCAGTTCTGACTTGATACTGAACAACAACAAAAGACACTAAAGCCATAATCTTTTCTAGCCCCAGCTAAAATCCTGGGGTTTTTCTTCCCCTAAACTCTCAGTGTTCATGATCTCAGTTAATAATAGTTTCACCCTGAAAAATTCATTCCCTCGCTTCCTATTCTTTCCCACAGACAATTCATCAACAAATACCATATAGTAGCATCTTTATCTTTCAATATTATCTGGACCCCCTTTTTTTGCATTAACTCTCCTGGATTATTTCTGTAGCTTCTCACTAGTCTCTATTTCCACTCTGGCCTCTAGTCGGGCCTCTCACCAAACAGCCAGAGGAATCTTAAAACCAGTCTGGTCAGGTCACTTCTCTTCTCAGAGTCCTTCACTGTCTTCCAGTCTCGAGGACCAGCCAAGTCTTTTGTTGTTGTCTTTCCATTATAATACTTTTCTTTGTCCCCATGAACTACCCTTTTAAACTATCTGTTCAGCACTTTCACTTTGACATGTTTTCCTTTAGATTTGGCTTCTCAACATTCCGGTGCAATCTTTAGTCTCTTCTGACATTCATTTTTTTTTTGTTTGTTTTTTCTTTCTCCTTTGTGTTTGTAATGTCCTTTTGCTTTCTTCCTGGAGATATCCCAGTTATCATTCTGCAACTCATCTGGTCTTCTGTCATTGGTGTTCAATGCCTTAAACCTATTCGTAAGATGATCATGAAATTCAGATGGAACTGATTCAAGATCATATCTCAGTTCTTATATACTTATTTTCATTTTCTTTGGCCTCAATTTGAACTTGCATGAGTAATTTATGATTTGACCCACAATCTACTCCTGGGCTGTTGATCTTAAGCTTCTCCAGTGATTTTTTCCATGAATGTAGTCAGTCTGATTCCTATGCAGCCCATCGGGTGAAACCCACATATAAAGTCATCTTTTGTGTTTTTTAGACAAAGTATTTACAATGAATAAGTCATTGTAAATACAAAAATTCAGTCATTCTATTTCCAGCCTCATTTTTATTACCAAGCCCATATTTTCCAACTACGTTTACTTCTTCATTGTTTCCTACTTTTGCATTCCAGTCACCAGTTGTCATTAATGCATCCTGATTGCATGTTTGGTCAATTTCAGACCGCAAAATTTCTTCCTCTTTGGCACTAGATGTAGGAACAAATACTTGAACAATACTCATCTTAATGGGTCTTCTTTGTATGCATATGGATATTGTCCTATCACTCACAACATTGTATTTCAGGATCGAACTTGAAATTGACTTTTTTTTACTATGAATGCAACACCATTCTTCTTTTCATTCCCTGCATAGTATATCATATGACTATCAAAGTGATTCACAGTGGCCATAGCTGGTCCATCGCATCTCACTGATGGCTAGTATGTCGATATTTATGTGTTCCACTTCACTTTTAACAATATCCAGTTTCCCAACATTCAAGCTATGAACATTCCATGTACCAGGTCTTGTTCCGGGTCTTAGAGAGGCTTATTTGTGGTTGTTGAGCTTGGCTATTTAATGTCTGAGACCAAGATCTCTGTGCGTTTCACTATCATCTCCTTTATGTTGAACACAGTCCCTTAAAAAGGATTGACACCCACCTATCTATGGAATGAAAGGCCGTGACGATTTGAACCAGCAGGTGGAAGGCCATCTAGCTTACGCATCTTCATTCTTTGGTTCACGTCTATTTTCAGTTCCAGAACAGTTTCATGAAAATCTCCTTTCTTTTTCAAGAACTTCTTTTTAATATTAGGGAAGTAGGAAAAGGAGATGGTTTCCCCCACCCCCCAAGCCAACAAAGTGCTATTTCCCCTTCCTTAATCTTTCAGTAAAAATATTGATATATCATGTGCCTCTGTAAAACCGTTCCAGACTTGACCCATAAATAATGAGGAACATACACTGTGTCTTTGTTATTAATATTTTTAAAATTTTGTTATTTAACCAGGTACACAGCCAAGCCTAAACAAAATTTGGTTTATGCCTTTTTTCTTAAATGGCCCGTATCCGGAAAACTGTTTCTTGGCCTACCCAGAGCTACTCAGGGTTCAACAAAGGTAAGAGACAATATGAAAATGTGTTTTAACTTTTAAAAAGGGATTTTTTAAAAAACTTTAAAAATGAACTTCATCAATGTCAGTATTTGTCCTTTGAAATTTCTATAGTTTCTCAGGAAAGCAAACTTTAAAAAGGAATTATAGGGGGATGGGGAGTTAGTTAATCATGAGGTTGTACAATTTGATGAGTGGGGTGA